ATTAGACCTAGCACATCCCCTTGGGTATCACCCATATGGATCGTACCAAAAAAGGCAGATGCATCTGGCGAACGGAAATGGCGTTTAGTAGTTGACTATAGGAAACTCAATGCTAAAACTATAGACGACAAATACCCTTTACCCAATATCACAGAGATACTGGATAAACTGGGCAAATGCCAATATTTTAGCACGCTCGATTTGGCCTCAGGTTTCCATCAAATCGAGGTGGATCCCAGTGATGTACCAAAAACTGCATTTCAAGTAGATCATGGCTTATACGAGTATTTGCGTATGCCATTTGGTCTAAAAAACGCACCGGCTACTTTCCAGCGCGTTATGGATCATGTACTCAGAGAATATATTGGAAAATGTTGTCTCATTTATATGGATGATATTATCGTTTTCTCTACCTCTCTGCAGGAACATTTGGAAAATTTGGAAAAAATATTAAAAGCCCTTGAAAAAGTAAATTTAAAATTACAGTTAGACAAATGTGAATTCCTTAGAAAAGAAGTAGCTTTCCTAGGTCATATTGTCACCGATCAGGGAGTCAAACCAAACCCCAATAAAATCGAAGGTATCAAAAATTGGCCTTTACCAAGAAACCAAAAACAACTTAAAGGATTTCTTGGAATTCTCGGGTACTATCGGCGGTTTATTCGCGACTTTGCGAAAATTACCAAGCCACTTACAGCTCAATTACGTAAAGGTGAAGTAATTGAACACACGCCTTTATTTGTGGAAACCTTCGAGAAATGCAAAGAATTGCTTACACAAAGTGATGTATTGCAATACCCTGACTTCAATCAACCATTCGTCCTCACTACTGATGCAAGCAATTTTGCTCTCGGAGCAGTTTTATCGCAAGGCTGTATAGGAAGGGACAGACCAGTCGCGTTTGCATCCCGAACATTGACAAAGACTGAAGAAGGTTACTCCGCCATACAGAAAGAACTTTTGGCTATAGTATGGGCGACACAATACTTTCGACCATATTTGTTCGGAAGGAAATTTACCCTATTTACAGACCATCAACCACTTACCTATGCACTAAACCTAAGGTCACCAAACACCAGACTAGTGAAGTGGAGATTAAAACTTCTCGAGTTTGATTTTGAAATCAAACATCGACCAGGGAAGCAAAACGTGGTGGCAGATGCTCTCTCTAGAATCACTCATGAAATGAATATTAACGAAGATGACCCTACGGATGAAGACTCTGTACATTCCGCAGATTCAGACTCTTCAGATCTTATAGAATTCACCGAAGAACCAATTAATTTCTTTCATAATCAAATTATCTTGAAAATTGGAGAAAATGATTCGGAAACTTTTGAAACAATCTTTCCAAAAATGCATCGTAGGACTATTACCAAATTCCACTTCGGGGTCCCCGCATTAATTAGAATTTTCAGAGAATGTATGGATCTCAAGAGGCAAAATTGCATAATGTGCCCTGAGAGCATGATGCAATCCGTACAAACGGTCTATAAGAATTATTTTAGTAGGTGTAGAACTTTTCGAGTAAAAATATCCCAGAAAATACTTATTGATGTCCCTGACGAGAACGAACAAGATTTGATAATCGAGGATACTCATGAAACTTCTCATAGAGGCATCCGCGAGAACAAAGAAGAGATATATAGACGGTTCTACTTCCCGAAGATGAAGCAAAAGATTCGTAAACATGTCATTCTATGTAAAGTATGTAATAGACAGAAGTACGAGAGACATCCTTATAAAACTAAATTTGCAGAAACACCAATCCCGAGACAGCCATTAGACATCATCCATGTCGACATATTCATCAATCAACCAAACTTATTTCTTTCAGTAGTGGATAAACTGTCTAGATTTGGGACTCTTATCCCAATCAAATCACGCTGTATCTCCGATGTTCGTAAAGCGCTTCTTAAATATTTTGCATTATATGGAACCCCAAAATTAATGGTTTCGGACAATGAACCTGCGATAAAATCTATTGAAGTTAGAGGACTACTGCATGACCTTAACGTAGAACAATACTTCACACCCTCCAATCATAGTCAAATGAACGGGATTGTGGAACGCTTTCATTCCACTATCAGTGAAATTTTCAGAACCAACAGACATAAATATGAATCTCTGTCAAATAAAGAAAGATTTCTCATAGCATGCACCCTGTATAATAATGCCATACATTCAGCCACTAAATTAAGACCTCGTGAAGTATTCTATGGAATGAAGGAAGGATCTGAAAGACCTCTAAATATGGACGCCATTATCGCATCCAGAAACAAATTATATGATGAAACTGTTCTACAAATTACAAAGACTCAAAATCAACAAAATCTCTATCACAACGCAAATAAAGAGGAACCTCCAGCATTGGAACCTGGCGATAACGTCCTGAACAAAGTACAAGGCGTAAAATCAAAGACTAGGATCCAATTTGAACCAGTACAAGTAGTAACTGACAACAATCGAACATACATTGACAACAATAATCGAAAATTGCATAAGTCAAAATTACACAGAATTAGGAAGTGATAGTTTACATACCATCTATGCCTTTACGGATCGTTGTCAATATGAGTAAGGCATTGAGCGAAGACATTCTCTTCACGCTCTGCTTCATTCAGCTACAAGAAATAAAAGATCGGCTCTACAACCGGAACCCGTTCAACCCTTCGAAAGAAGAGACAATCGCTCGACTAAAAATAGTCGATAGTCTATTCGAATTAGCCGCAGGAGCCGCAATTAAGCGGGAAATGAAAAGGGAATCTACTAGGGCGCTAGTCGAACTAGTAGAAAATATCCGGGATCGCCTCGAATGGAGACATACTTCAAGTCCCCGCGTACATCGTACGGGCTAGGCAAAAATGTGCGTCATCTTGAAAACTGTCGCTTTAATGGCCCTTCGCTCATTTTCAACTTCTATTCAATTTTCATACTGCCGTACTCTAACGGAACTATCCACCTACCCTCTTCTACAGATCATTCTCTAGCTAATAAATCATCACACTAAAGCTTCATGTTAGCATTTCCAACCAACTCTGAAAATCGTTAACTTCGCGTATGAAGTAACATAAAAAACACTTTGAATACCTTCTCATCTTTTTAGGTTTGGGATGCATCGGAAGACTTCAAAATAGCCTTACCAAGACGCCTCATCAACACCTCATTCTCCATCAAATTATACCCCACTAATCCTTTCTTTGAATTTTAGGTTGGAACATACCCTGGGAACTTAAGCTAACCTAGCTAAGACGCTCCTTCAACTCCTTAATCATTAACCACTATCCTTAGGTGTTGGAAAATGAACCCCATAATAACATTTTTGCTAATTATCACCCTTTCCAACACCACACCTCAATCCATAGAGATAAAAAGCCTAGATAAAAATCCAGGGCTCCTAACCTTAAGATTGGGAGAAGGCTTCATAAAGATAGGAAATCATAAAATATTTCACATAATAGACTTTAAGAATTACGAATTAATGTTTGCAAAACTACCTGCTACCTTGAATGGTTTGAAAACTATTGGAAACTTCACAGATACCATTCACTTGCTCGAATCTAAGTACAATACCATGAAAAATTTGTATCATGACCTATTTCCCACAGTTAGACGCAAACGAGGTCTTGTTAACATTTTAGGATCAGCTATCAAACAAATCACAGGAAATTTAGATAATAATGACCTCATTCAAATTTCAGACACTATTAAAAAACTAGAGCTCGATAATGAAATATTAGTCAATGAAAACAACGAACAGGCCAAAATTAATATCCAACTACAAAATCGGATAAACAGAGTCCTAAATGATTTAGAATGTCAACACAACCTTATAAGAAAAAACATAATTGTTCAACGATCGGAGCTAGGACGAAACAAAAGCATTCAAATAATTGAAGAAATTATAAAAATCAATCTTTATATCGATATCCTTAATTCACATTTAGAAACAATTTCAGAAGCCATTCAACTGGCAAGACTTGACATTATCTCAAAAAACATCCTCTCACCAGACGAGTTGCACTTCGCAATAAAACACTTAGAAGATCAGGGCATCTCTATTACTCACCCAGAACAAGCCTATCAATTTTTAGGACTTGAAGCATTTTATAATCAGAGCAGGGTTATTTTTGTTGTAACGATACCATTATTCAAAGCCCATAAATACGAAATATTGTTTTTGGAACCACTAATCGTAGGAAATAGAATCATCAAGCTGCCCGCAACCAGAATCATATTGAGCAAGGAGGAAACGTACTTCATAACCAGAAATTGTCAACAAATCCATAAGTACTACGTCTGCAGACTTGAAAATTTGTCAAATTCTACCCAAGATGGCTGTTTTTCTAGATTGTTAAGAGGCTCATCAGGAAATTGCGTATTTAAAGAAATAAGCCAACCACATGAAATCAAATCGATCATGAGCAACTACGTAATTTTGAAACAAATCAGCAATGGAACCATCTGGTCCACCTGCGGTATCACAAACCGAACACTGACAGGCACATTTCTAATTGAATATCATAACTGTACAGTGAAAATCAACAGCCTACAATTTTCAAACGATGAGATCGTAAAAACCGAATTACCCGACATAATTCCCTTGGATGGCCTGAATATTCAAGTAGACACCATAGAGTCAGAACCAGATTTCGAAAAGCTCAACATCGTAAACAGGCATCGTTTAGAATCGTTCACTAAAACGCAAAGATTCCACACATCCACCTCTATAACATTATCTAGTTTCAGCATACTAATTGGAATAGCAGTTTCGATCTACCTGATTTGGAAAAATAAGTCAAAAACTACCCAAGACCCCACCAGATTACATCCAAATACGAATCGGGACGATTCTTTTTCTAAGGAGGGTGTAGTTATGGACCACCCATCAGCAACCATCCCAACATCAGAAGACATCACCCATCGGTTGGACTCAATTCAACGAAACCAACAGCAAGTGGCCTTAGCATTGAATTCAATTGCGCGGCCATCATCTCCAGGCAAACTCAACGTCTCAGCGTAGTACGAATGGGGACGTCGACAACAACAACAACAACAACAACAACAATAGCAACATCATCAGTAACATGCTTCAGCCCATCGGCACCCCGATGACCACGAAAGCATGCACCAGCATATCACCAAGAACGCCAACTCAGCAGCAGCTACAGTGACGACGACGATCACCACATGGCAACAGCAACATCGATGCAACAAGACACCGCATGGTAGCAGGAGTAGACAGTACATAGATAATAATTAGATGTAAGCATTTTTGCAGGAATTGAAGCTCTTTTGTATTTCAAAGTAAATTCAAATTGACGCAATAAAAATCATTCCAGTTTTAGTCGTAGACCTGAGCAGTAGTTCTTTTTAAAAACACCCCGAAGTCCTTAGAAGACATAATTTATATACATTGCTGGACTCCCGTGGTCATAACCTGAAGAACCGGCTACACAACACATAATGAAATACCTAACACTAAATTAAAAAAAAAACCATATAACTAGTCACCCAGCACTCTTTTCTTAATCATGTAAGTCTTTGCATGTAGACAAAATAAGAACCAAAAACAAAAGATAAAAAAAAACAATCTCGTAAACACACTTAATAAAAGTGGTGTACGGTTTATTAGATTGCTATTACTGTAAACGATAAAAAAGGCGGCAAAGACCGCACTAATCCATTTACCCTACAAACAGTACTAAAAACTCTTGAATGCTGCTTCATCGGAATACATAATTGTTGAGACATCTCACATCTCACCATGGCAAACAATGCGTCTTGGTAGTTCCGGAGATATGTCAAAGGAGATGGAGAAGGAGGGAGATGAAAGGACGAGGAGTGGAGCATCTAGGAGGTTGAGAGGAGATGAATTGTAGAGATCGAGACAGTTGAGCTTGGTCCGTCGAAACGAGCAGAAGTGCGCAAAAAAACACTATATCAGCTATCGGATGTTCAAGTGACAGTGGTTGGTTGAAGGTCACGAGTCAACCTTGGTGAAGTAACCACGAAGTCAGTGAAGTGTGATACCGGGGTACTATTACGGCCCCTAGCCTGGAGGATACAGCGTGGAAGACTACGATCGTGTGACTGAACCGATCGGGGGCGTCAACCTCGGCGAGTCCAGATCATTCGCTGCAAGTCCGGCGTGTTCGAACCCCTCTTCGGTGATTAGTGTGGAGAATATCCACGGAATTCCCCCTGGAACGTCACCCGGAGGGTTACTGTTGGACATCATTCCAGGACGGACCACAAGTAAGCCCCTGCTCAAAACCCTACGGTGCTGGTGGTCAACGAGCCCCAACCGCTACTTCGTTGGATCACACGCGACGTGGAAGCATTTTTGCTTCAATGTAAGATGTTGAATGGTTGTAATTATTAACTAAGGGACGAGGAACACATTTTGATGATTCACGAACAAGTTTTGATAAGGGCTTAGTTTTTTATTGATCTTTATTGATAATATTTTAAAGACTTTTCTGCAACATTTCCTTACGGACAACATATTGTGAATTTTACAACATAGCTTCCATTTCAAAGAATGATTATATTCATTCTTCTTAGTTTATTTCAGTTATAAGATAGGTAACAGAATGAGTGAAAACTGGGGGGATTAAAATTAACTTTTACGGGTACGACTCCGGCGTAGTGGTTAACATCCGTACCTCTCACGCCAAAGTTACGAGTTCAAATCTCACTCCGGACAAGTCACGAATGACCCAAGAGTGTTTAAGTGACTATAATAAAAAAATAACTGGGAGAAACGGTATAAATTTTATTTCCATTTTTTTTTATTGTTTTCTCGATATCGCATATTTTTATTATTCGGCACTGCTATCATCCCTAGCAAAATCTTCTTCAACTTCGTCGACAGCTTCCATAAGTTCTTCCAATGCATTGCAGTTGTCATCACCGACTGTTTAGCAGTTTTCAGAATCTTCGAATGTCATAATGTTATTGACAATATCGGGATAGCTCAATGCTTTTTTTTTATTGTCTTCTTTTCTCCATTCAAATGGTACTAATGAATGGATCTGATTAATTCATTGCCCGAATGAAGACATCATGTAAATTTTCGACTCTGGATCGTTTTCTAGCATGGTTAGTTCGATATTTTTTCAGCTGTTTATGCTGACTTTCTGCGGCTTCTTCTGCTAATATTCCAAGAGGAGCTGGCGAATGAATGGTTATTTCTCCAGCATGAGCAAGTACTTTATGTACAATCATATAAAGAAAGATAAAGTCGGTATGTGTCTTTGCAATAGGCATCATTTTTTCTGGATTAATTGGTTGCTGACTGTTGATAGTAATTAAAATGTTTCGAAACCTCACAATTAATTCTTCGTCGATATTTAAAACGCTGCTTAAAAGATGAGGATTTGCGAATCCTCGTTGACAAACGTTACCTGTAGTGCTCGTACCTGGTCCTCCCGATCTTGGTTGATCAACTCTAACTCCAAATTTTTCATAAAGCTGTGCCGTTACTTGTTTTTTTCTTTGCAGATACTGTTCTTTACATGGCTGTAAAACTTTGTAACAGGTACGTGAAGCGTACGTTACTTTTCTTGTTTGTATATAGTTTATTATTTAAACTGAATTATTAGGAAATAAGGATAGCCTTTAAATAAATAATTTGCAATAAAACTTTAAAACAGTAAATCATCATTTGAATTATTAACATGACTGCTAGAAAATTTGTCGAACAAACTGCACCTTTAAATAGGCAACACCTGGGACATGACGTTACGCATGCGACTCGCGAGGTCAAGGAGGTCATTTTCATTTCGTGTCCTTGGATTTGATGGGAAAGTGGGAAGGCGAGATATGATGAAACTTGTAAGAGTGAGATGCATTTCAATCTGACGAACCATAATCGACCACTTTGCCAAAAGCGTTCGGGTGTGACGCATTTCCTGTAATTAAATTCTCTAAAGGTATTTATCTGAGGACTCGAGACTTTCTCGTCCATTTGCCTGGAAACTCGATTTAGTTTCGGAAGTGTGGCCTTGCCTGTAACCACGGTGTTCGAAGTAGGGACAGTTTGAAAATTATAGAATCGTTCAAGTGCTAATTTACCGTGATTCTTTTCAGTTAGACTGATAGCCAAAAATCAGTAAGATACCTTTTTCGTAGCTAGGAAAGTTACAGTTGTGTGAAAGAAGAAAGGTAACAAATTCTGTGCGTGTAGGAAAATGTGCGTGTCTTAATTGTAGTCGAACAGCCGTTCGACGGCTTTCTATCTCCAGTTTAGGAAACTATTCCACCAACCGTCGCCACATTCTTCCGTCGGGTTCTCCTTTGCGCAAAGACCCTGGCCAATCGTCATTTCGGTCAGAAGGGGCCGCGCCGTCACCATCGCGCCCAAACCGAACGAGTTCAACAAACAGCATTCTCCCGGGATAATTTTCGCCCTTGCTAGGTGGCTTGGGAAAGCCCTAGCAGCAGGCAATGCGCGCAGCAGTAAGAAGTACGACAACAGGCCTGTAAGTACAAAGAGCTCTTTTTTATATTGTCCGTGTGCACATGAGACCGACGACTGAGTAGCGTCGTCTTGAATGAACGCCTAGATCAATATCGGCGTCATCTACTCGCCTGCGGGCTATAGTTTGCAAGCACTTTTGTTTCGGCGATAGAGAATGGTCCGGACCGAGAAGGTATAGACACGCACAGATAAGATAGGAACGATTAGAATAGAAACCAAATATATGTTGAAATTATTGTGAATTAAAATGATTTTTTTTTTTGAATTATTTGATTAATATAAAGTTAGTACCCTCCCTCTCCCGCTGTTTGTATCATGGTGATTAGCATCCTGAAAGATTTCGTTCCGTGCGCTTATAGTTCACAATTTGAATCGACTATTTTTGTTAATTTTAGTGTGAAGGGCAAATCACTCTTTCGCGACGGAGTCGCCTCTGGTGTAAATGATGGGAACTGCGATGATGATAAAATAAAGCTTTGAAGGAAAGCTTTGCTAACCGTTCGGTGAGGGTAAAGTTAGGAATTATGGTCGTTCGAGTGCAGTGAGTCTGACTAATGAGAGTGAATTTGGGGACAGCCGGACCGTTTCCGATCCTTTTCAAGGAACGAACTGAACCTACCTGAGGTTAGGTCTCAAACCGGGCAAACACACATTGGCGGGCGGTCCTCATTAGAGGTGGCGCTTAAATCGCTCGTTTTATTAAATCGAGTGCGGAACGGTAGTCCCTGGGTGTTTCTTTGTGGAGTTTGAACATTTTTAGTAGTAGAACGCCAATCGTCTCTGAACGATTTTCGGCGTGCTACAACTTTCCATTGCTTTATATCCCTACGATACGAAATATGCAGCAGACATTCAAAGAAGCGAATCCATGCATGAAGTGAAGATATGCCATAAGCTAGGGTATCTACTTCGGATATAAATCCTTCCTCTAATTTGTCTTTGTTGTTCATTACGTTTGGAGTTGCCCCACAAATTGGACAGTTCTGCATTGATGAACTACGACAAAAATATGTTAACACTTTACCGTCAATCATACTTAGTGCAAATTTAAAGGCAACTAAAATTGTGTTTCCGTTTAATAGATCAAATTTCACTGGTATTAGTTCTTGCATTTCTTTCTCCACGTCTTGTTTTGTAGCAAGATTTATCTCTCTACTCTCTTTTACGAATTGCAGGATTTATGGTCTACAAAACCGAATGCTTTGAGGCATGCGGTTAAACCACATAATTTTGTTCGGATTATTCGCCACATATACATATACATATACATAATACATTGGAGAGAGTGTTGATGAGAATACATCAGAATCATCTTGACATTCGTCTGACAGTGTTTGATGATACTGGGAATAACCGGTTGAAACATCCATGCCCCAACTGCTCAATAGAATCAATTCTGCATATTCCAGGTTATTTGATGTCATAAACTCGTCGAGTTCCCTCTCAATAACTTTGATGATTCGTTGGACTGTATGCTCCAACAGAACCTGTAGTTTCACCTTTATTTTGGACGCGGTTTCCTCAATGGATTGAGTTGGAGGGGCACATACTTTTTTAAATGTCCCGATAACATTGTATGGTGGAAATCTTGATGGTGCCTCTCGATGTATTACTTCGTATTGACTTTTGCTTAAGCCAGCTTCAATGAACATACTAAATGCTTCTTCAGGTGACATCATTCCACG